GATGGATTCTAAGAAAGTCCAAACAATCGTGGATTGGAAGATTCCAAGGACAGTAAGAGATGTTCAATGTTTCTTGAGATTTACGAATTACTATCGGATCTTCATCAAAGATTTCTCACGAGTTGCAGCTCCACTTACACGCTTGACTAGTAAAGATAAATTTCAATGGAATCAAGAAGCGGAAGCAGCATTTGAAGCCTTGAAGACATCGTTTGTCTCTGCACCAGTCTTATATCGTGTTGACTTTTCCAAGGCATTTTTTATGGAAACAGATGCATCAGATTTTGCCTTGGGTGCAGTTTTATCACAAATGGGAACAGATGACAAACTCCATCCGATAGCTTTTCATTCAAGAAAATACTCAGCAGCCCAGATCAATTATGAGATCCACGATAAAGAACTTCTTGTAATCGTGGATTCCTTTCAAGAATGGCGTCATTATCTAGAAGGCACTTCTAGTCCAGTCACTGTGTATACAGATCACAAGAACCTCGAGTATTTCATGTCAGCACGCGTGTTGAATCGTCGTCAAGCTCGTTGGAGTATGTCTTTGTCAAGATTCGAGTTCATTATCACTTATCGGCCAGGAAAACAACAAGGTTTATCCGATGCCCTATCTAGACGTTCTTATTTTGCACCAAAAGAAGGAGATGCAGCTTTTGAGCAACAAAGAACGGTCCTCTTGAAACCGGAGCAATTTCATCTCCGAGCAATGAAATCAACATTGACTGTTGATTCAACTTTTCTCAAGCAAATCCAGTCCAGTATGTCCTCAGACCCTCTTGTTTATGATATCGAGAATAATTCTTCCAAGTCTCATGATCCTTCTAAGTTTGAGTTCAAGAATAATCTATTATATTTTGAAGGACGCCTATATGTTCCAGAAGGAGAAGCACGTTTACGTGTTCTTCAAGCACGTCATGACTTTCCAGCAGCAGGGCACTTTGGATATAATAAGACTTTGGAACTCATATCAAGAGATTTTTGGTGGCCACAAATGTGGAAGTCAGTCAAAGACTTTGTACAATCATGTGATATTTGTTCAAGATCAAAAATTCCTCGTCATCGATCTTACGGACTTCTTCAGCCATTACCTATACCAGAACAACCATGGTCTTCTGTTTCTATGGATTTCATCACAGATCTCCAAGCTCAAGATCTTATGATTCTATATTTGTGATAGTAGATCGTTTCACCAAGATGGCACATTTTGTGCCATGTACAAAATCTATCACAGGTGAAGAAACAGCTAAGCTTTTCATTGATAATATCTATCGCTATCATGGATTACCTAAAGATATCATATCGGATAGGGGAACTCAATTTGTGTCAAGATTTTGGAGGACCCTTTTCAAGATTTTAAAAGTGGACATAAAACTATCTTCGGCTTTTCATCCTCAAACTGATGGACAAACAGAGCGCGTAAACCAAGTCTTGGAGCAATATTTAAGGTGTACTATCAACTACCAACAAGATGATTGGACAACCCTTCTGCCATTGGCAGAGTTTGCTTATAATAATACAGTACATTCTTCCACGCAACAAACACCTTTCTTTGTCAATTATGGCTATCATCCACGACTTGATACTTTTGATTTTTCAAAAGTTGATAATCCTGCAGCAGAAAATATGGCAAATCGGTTGTCAGAGTTACATGCAATAATGAAGACACAATTGAAGGAAGCTCAAGAACGACAAAAGATAAACGCAGATCTATATCGTAAGGAGCAACCACAGATCAACGTGGGTGATAAGGTATGGCTACTTCGTCGCAATATCAAGACTACTCGACCTTGTGACAAGTTGGACTATCGTAGGCTTGGCCCCTTTTCTGTTTCTGAACAGATCAACCCAGTTGCATATCGGTTACATCTACCAGAGTCAATGAAGATCCATCCTGTATTCCACGTATCTCTTCTTGAACCATATAAGACAGTGGATATACAAGGAAGAAGACAAATGCCACCGCCTCCTATAGAAGTAGATAATAATGAAGAATTTGAGGTGGAAGAGATATTAGACTCAAGGCGGCGCCGAAATAAGCTGGAATATCTTGTTCATTGGCGCGGATATGATATTAGTGAACGCACATGGGAGCCATCCAGGAATCTAGCAAATGCATCAACTAAAGTCAAAGTTTTTCATCAACGACATCCATCAAAACCAAGATGAAAATCTCTCTTATAAAAGAGACAAGATTGAGGCAAGATAACATTCAATTTCCTATCCTTGTTTGTAACTTCTTTGCATTTGTGACGCTAATTAGATGGAGAGCCAACAACCAGCAGATTCAACTCAAGAACCTTCGTTTGCTGACCTGCCGGACGAGACATTACGATTGTCACAACCTTCAAGACGACGCAATCGAGATGAAGATCTTCAAGAACGACATGTTCTTCCTCGAATAGATGGTGAGATACAACGCGTTTGGTATCACGATTTGGGAAGGGACTCCCGATGTTTGGTGATTTTGCTAGAAGTAGGAACAACTCCTGATGGTGTTCCGAATATTCTATTCGAAGGAAGTTATGAAGGCCTCAATAATGATCAAATAACTGGGTGGTCTTCCCGCCCTGGTATGGGACACTATCGATGGTTGAGAGGCCCTATCAATCATCTTCGAAGAGAACAGAGATCAGAGTATGTGGCGAATACAATTCGTCGCATCATAGATTTCTTCAACATATGATGACCGCTCCTCGTGGAACTCGTCTCTAGAAGGGGGGGTAATGTCACGGCCATAATCATGTAAGCTAATAATTACATATAGAAATAGGTAGAAGTAAGTAAAAGTAGATAAAAGTAAGTTAATTCTATAATATTTAATATAGAAGCTTCCTAGAAACTTCCTAGATGCTGCTTTGACTTCATAGGTGTCTTTAATTGACTTTTTGGATTAGAAACGTGGTCAAAAAGTTGGCCATGTGCCACACATGTTGTTAGCTTGAAGATCAAGCTAACTATGTGGCCCACACGTAGAAAAACTTGCCTTGTAAGTCAAGGCATGTGTCCTACAAAGTCAACACATATTGGAGGTCCTATAGAACGTCGCCACGTAGCCCCTAGTTAGATAGTATATATAGAGACAAGAGTGAAGGCTTCTTCACTCTTGTCAACTCCTTTCTTGCTTCTAGTCCAGGTTCAAGAGTCTTTAGTTTCTTGTCTTGTGGCAATAGCCATTCCAGTTTCCTTTTAATATACCTACTTGTTTATATTTTGACTTATTATATCGAGATAGCCTTTTGGTGTATATTTTTCCTCATCGAGTCTTTGTTCTTGACAAAAGGTAACCAATGTCTAACAAGGGTGACTCTAAATATTTAGAAGTTACTATCAACCAAAACCAATCTTAAAAGCCACTATCAAAAGAAATTAAAGTTATACAAATTCTATCGTAATCTTTTTAAACAGCCTCTTTTCAAGGTAATAATCAAATTATTTTCTACAACCAATTAAAATCTATTAACATGGCTCTCAGTATGTTACTTAGTAAATTATATATTAAGTACATAGTTACATTATTTTCATATAGCAGCTGAATCACAACACGACAATGTACCTAACTTGCAAAATAAGTTTCCTACATAAGTATTGCATGGCCAACTTGTACCATAAGTTGCCAACATGTGTGATACATGGCTAACTTGTTGGCTAAGTTTCTAACCTATCAATCAACTACAAACATGTATAAAGTCAAATCCGCAATTATGAAGCTTTTGCTAATGATATTATCAAATCCACCTATGTGTATCTTCTACTTAAGACTTCTTATTAAAGTAATTATATATATCCGTGACAAAACTTACATTACTTTATATGTGATCTTTTAGAAAAAAATTACCAATAAAAACTTTAATTGGATGGACTCATTACATTTACTTATAATTTCTAAAATCCTCTATTATATATTTATTGCTAATTTTGTCCAAGTATATTTTTAGAGTATAAAAATCTAGATTTTTTTAAATATCTAATAGAATACTATTCTTGCTGAAATTTACTTTGATTAATTAATTATTTTAAAAAATAATTATCTAATTTATTTATTATAATAAAAAATCAAATAATTATAAAAATGCTTTAAAATATTGGCAAGTATGGCCACATGTACACCTAGTACAAGGCACACTTCTATTGTGATAAGTCTTTGTAATTAATCAACTTATTTGCCTCTTGCTTTCTATTCTATGGATCATAAAATATAGAATTCCTAGACCTTCATGGCTTTATATTCAATTTATGTAGATAACAAACTTAGATGGAAAATTAGAGGCACTATACATCATAGAGGTGGCACACAAGCACCAAAGTGCAAAATTGTTTTCTACACATCCAATCAATCAAGCTTCTTGATCTTTACAACTTTCCCAAAGCATACTAAGAAAAAATCTACACCATACTTTAGATAAGCCTCATGTGTGTGAATCAAACACAATGAAATGCTATTCAAATTCTTTGTAATTTCCCAAAAGCCTCCAAAATTGCATAAGTACCACTTTGCATCTGCATATTGGCCACATTTAGTACAAGTACCCCATGTCAAAGCTTCTACTTCAAACATGGAAAACTCAATCTCTAGTACTCCATCCATTGCACCAGTGGCTATCTCAAAAATTCCCCAAGCCAATAACTCTCCGCAGTCAAACATGTCAATACCAGGATTCTGTACTTTTTCCTACTGAAAAATCACTGCCACAGACTCAAGTTTGTGAAATTCATTTTGATGTGTTAACAGTCTGCTATTGGCTCTTCTTTTTACAGCATCTGGGGGCATTAATGCATAGCTTTTCTGCACCACGTTGTCTTGCAGAAGGATGTCATAATCACCTCCAAATTCCCTTGAATCCCCATCATCTCCAACGTCATCCGTTCCAGCCATTGAACAACCCACCGCATCTCCACCGTATGGAAAATACAGGGCCCGGTAAAACGCCACACTGGAATACGAACCCTATCCAATCCTGCACAAGACGGGAAGGAGATGATGCACAGGACGAATGTTTTCAAGGCTTGGTTCGCCCTACGATCATGCAGCGCCAAAGCATGGTTTCGTGGTGTAAAGGCAAAAACCAGACAGGGTGATTTATTTTCTTTTTGAAGTTTTTTGGTTGCTCGTTACGGTGCATTTGCAGATTTGTCCAAACATATGAAATGTCTCCAAGTGGCTCGTAGCTACTGTCGCACGCAGTGTCCGCCCGCAAGTGCCACCTCCTCAGTTTGCATTCCTTGTTGGGTGTTCCTTGGGTTCATCTGTAGTCTTGCTTGGTTCACCCACAGTTTGTGCTATTGGTTTTCTGCATTTTGTGGTGAGATTGTGCGGAGAATTTAAAATCCTGTAGCCTTTCGTTTGTGTAATTATTTTTCCTGAATTGGGGGGAAGCAATTTCTGTAGTATTTCGGGTTTGAGGCGAAGCGTAGTGGTTATGGCGGAGGAGTTAGTAGATATCGTCATACTGGGTGCCTCAGGTTTCACTGGGAAGTATGTCCTCCGTGAGCTTCTGAAATTCGCCAACCCACCCAATTCCGTTCCTCGGAAAATCGCCATTGCTGGTCGCTCCAAAGAAAAGCTCGCCGCTGCTTTGACATGGGCATCCGGTGACAAGAATCCTTCTCTAAGCTCGTCGATTTCCATATATGAAGCAGACGTCAACAATGTTCAATCTCTCATCACTCTATGCAAGAAGACTAAGGTTCTTGTGAGCTGCGTTGGCCCTTACAGAAAGTATGGGCGGCCTGTTGTTGAGGCCTGTGTGGAGGCCGGAGTCGATTATCTTGACATCACTGGAGAGCCAGAGTTTATGGAGCAGATGGAGCATCTGTATCATGAGAAGGCTTCTCAGACTGGTTTGTTGCAAATGCCCACTGATGTGATAAGCCTATCATGTGATATTTCTTCTCTCTCCCTCTCTGTTTTGCGAAAAACGTATTGGTGTTTTGATGAAGGCATTGTGGCGCGAATACTTTGAAAAGACTTTCAGGATTGATTGCAGTCTTGATCATGCATCGACTCGCATGATGTTAGCAATTGTGTCTCGTTTTTGAATACGAATCTATTCATGATGCCGTCCAGGGTCATTGGTGGTGAGCGCGTGCGGCTATGACTCAATTCCGGCGGAATTTGGTGTTATTCACAACACACAACAGTGGGAATCTCCTTCTGTGCCCAACTCGGTCGATTCGTATCTTATTCTCGAAACTTCCGGTAAGAGCATCAAGGGGAATATAGGAACGTGGGAGTCTCTAGTCCTGGGCGTTGCTAATCAAGCCAACCTTCAGAAGTTCCGAAAATCAAGACCTCGTCGCTCTCGTCCTCAGGTAAATAATGTTCATCGCCTGAGTTTGCTCGTCTCAGGTTGCCTTAAGGATATCGAGTTTTGGTGGCAAGGCATTCACCTCTTATTCCAGCACTTCATGAGATCTATGAAGCTGATAGCTAAGCTACCTGAAAACTTGAACATAGTTAGAATTTGGCGCCCGAATCGTGGCAGGTGTCAGTGATGCAGCACCCTGCTATTTTTCTCTTGTTCCTGCTGTCAATGCTCCCCCGCATAATCTGGAAAGTTGTGATTCTCTTTAATCGGTTGAGTGATATTGTACCATCGATTTCAGGGTCCCTTTGACACATGAGCACCGTAGATTAAGTAAACCCTTTGTCCGATTCTGTAAACTTGGCAGCCATTGGAAGACTAAGAAATAATCGATGAGTTCAATCATCATTCTTTACTGAATTTTGTTGCGACGTAAATTTAAATTTAGAATATGTATCATAGGTTGAGAAATATTTGGAAACTTTCAATCATTTCCCATATGAGAGATCTCATTGTGAGTGTTATTAATGAATATTAGTAAACATTTTGCACAATGTCTTCGAGAGGGAATCCTGGTTTTCTTAGAATTCTAAGAGTCACCTTGGCTTTCTTTTGTAGATTCCAACAAATTCTATGAAGCGCGGGTTGATCCACTGGGAGGAAACCACAAGCGGATGGGCTATCAAGCTTCCATCCGCTGATGCAACTGTAGTGCGCCGCACACATGCCACAGTGATCGACAACCCCAATGGGCTTCCCAAAGCATCAGAAGACTCACCCCTCGATGAACACCCATGGACATCCATCAAGCCAGTCCATTACGGGTGCTATGTTGTGCAGAAGTCAGTTATGGGAGTAATAGGAATGTTCATCTTAGGCTTCATTTTAGTCATATTTGCGCAATTCAAATATGGTCAGAAGCTATTAGTGCAATACCCAGAGCTTTTCTCTTTGGGTATATTCCACAAGGAGGGTCCTAGTGAAGAAGAAATTCAAGCAGCGTCTTTCAAGCTGTATTATGTGGGCCGAGGGTATTCTGATGCTGCTCAGGTGACACCTAGTAAGAAGCCGGACAAGGAAATTGTCACCAGGATTGTGGGACCTGAAATTGGATATGGAAATTGTCACCAGGATTGTGGGACCTGAAATTGGATATGTGACTACTCCTATAGTGCTCATTCAGGCGGCCTTGGTCATGTTGGACGAACGGAGAAGGCTTCCAAAGGGAGGGGTTCTCACACCAGGGGTAGTGTTTGGTGGGACTGACTACTTGCAGCGATTGCAACAGAACAGGATAAGCTTTGATGTTATCAGTAATAAGAAGATCTAGAGGAAGCAACATTCTTCACCCAGAATCATGAATCTACAGACTCACAGTAATCAATGCTCTACCGTTTGTTGTATTTCTTCTAGGGGGACACCTGGGGTTCCATTCTTTTAGGCTTAATCATAGGAATTGGACTATTTCTTGAACCTGGTAATAGACTTCAGTTGATTGAATCTTACAAGCTCTTTGTTTTTATATTGTTGTATCTATGTGTTGATGAATCAATAAAAATAAAAAAATAATACATGTATATTATCAATATATTTGAAATTTTTTACTTGGTATAATTTATATTTTTAACTTTGAAAATTGTTATGACTATTGTGGTTGTTTTCAATCTTATTTTTAGTTGTATTTGAATGATGAAGCCTTATTAGTTCTTTATTAGTTCCTTATTAGTTGTATTTAATTGATGAATTCTTAAAACTTTGATCTTGTACCATCAAATTTTTTGAACAAAGTATTTCTTAGTTCTTTAATATTAGAATGGTGATATACTATAAGAGAAGTAATATGATTTGGTCAAGATATTGAAGCAGCTTCAGTCATCTTTATATCTTCAATTCCTAAGAATCTTGTTACTCCATGTAGTGGTAAATTGAATTGATGCATTACAAATATTAAATCTCTCAATTATTCTTGCATTCTTCATTTCAATAATCTTTGCCATAATAACATTAAAAAACTAATATGTTTAATATTGCTTAAGAGGAATAGAAGAAAAGACTTGAAAACAAAGAAATTGCTAAAAACAATATCAATTTAAAAGAGAGTAATCTACAACTTCTAATATGTTTATGACTTATCAAGAAAAAGAAGTAATCCATTCTTAATGAAGAAAAGACAAAACTTTGATATTATTAGTATACTCTTGTAGATTTGACAAGGATAAGAACTTGAGATCCAATATTAGATAACTTAAAATTATTTTTGATGAAATTTTAATCCAAATATAGACAACATGATGCAATTTGTATTGTAAGCAACAAGATTTGTGTTTTGTAACAAGATAATTGATTTATATCATTATATGCTTCATAATTTTAATAACTTATAATTGATATCAAGTATGATGATATTGCACTTATTAGCCAATTTTTTTTTATAAATAATAATATGAGGTAAAGAAATTGATATTCAACTTATTTGATCTTTAGACATTGAGTTAAGCAATTGATTTTATTGTAAAGTAGAATAATTGACTTTTTAAATTTTTATTTAAGAATCACATAAATAGACCTCAATATTTTTATAATTTAATGGAAAAATCCACATCTTCTAAATATGTACATTCAAAAGTGGAAGATATACAAATTAATGTGAAACATTTCAAACCACTTATTAATTTTTTATTAAAAAAAAAAAAAAAAGTTAGTAAGAAGAATTATACTTATATTGTGGAGAACCTAAGCATACTACTCAATATTGTTCAAAAATGTGACATAACCACAAAATGAGAAGTATGGCTATGAAATAAGATAATATGTCAAAAAAAAATTGTCCAATTATAATAAGAATCATGTAATTGGAACCTTATATAATACTTAATAAAGATTCTATTCAATCCACAAAACCCTCTATTTGTTTCACAATAGATGTTAGTTTAGGACCTAAACATCACAAAGTGTGTGTCTTATTGGATTCAAGAATCTTAGCTTATTTCTTAATGAAGAGTTTATTAAAAAATATAACATATCTTTAGTAAAAAAACTAAATATATTCATATAGAAATCATAGATGGTTATGTATTATCTTATAAAGATACTATTTATGAAATTTTTAACATAGAAATAGTAATTAGTAGTCATAATAGCTTTGTGATATTTAATATAATTAAATCTCTTTCTAATCAAGTCATTTTAGGACTAGAAAAGTAAAATTCTTAAATAGATTGAATTAATTGTAGTTTTAACTTTTTTCAAAGTAAAATTAAGAATTTTGAGAATTAAATAAAAAGTTAAAAATCTAATGCAACCAAATTCTTATTTATAAGTAGAAGAGCTTTTTTGCATGCTGCAACCAAAGGATTAGTTTATGTTATTAATGAAATACTTATTTCTAATGGTGGAAAGACTTTAAATGACATTCTAATCAATAAGCAACGAGATAGATTAGTTCACAAATAGGAAAATGTCTAAGCCTACAATAGTCCAAATTATCATAATAACAAATAGTCTTAATATTATAATAAAGTACCTATACCTTACTAAGTTGTGGTTGTTCCTTTTGATAAGCATTTGAATTAATCTTTTATTGTTCTTGAGCTTCCTTCAATTGCACCTTCATTGTTGTATATAGCATTGATAAATAATTTGTCAAATCTTCTACCACAGGATTATTAATATTTGAAAAGTCAAAAATATCAAATTATAGATAATAACTATAATTAACAAAAAAAGGTGGTTCTTGTATAGAAAAATGCATCAAATTATTATAAATAAACTTTACCAATGGCAAGAGGGTCTTTCAATTGTCTTATTCATAATTCATCGTATACCTTAAATATTGCTCAAAAACTTGGTTTATAAGCTCTATTTGTCCATCTATTTGAGGATGAAAGGCCAAAGAAAACTATATGTTCATCTTTGGAATCTTAAAAAGGATTTTTAAAAATCTTGATACAAATTGAATACTCTTATTTAATATAATACTTTTTAGCAATCTATCATATCGATAGATAATATGAAAAAAAATCTTGGTAGTTTTTTCACCTATGATAAATTTTGTGCATGGTACAAAATGTGCCATTTTAGTAAAATGATCTATTATTACAAATATAGAATCACACAAACTTGAGATTGAAAGATCCATAATAAAATCTATAAAAATAAAAGATCGTGGCTATTTTAAAATAGGTAATGATTGAAGAAGTCCATAAGATTGATGACGAGGAGTTTTTGACCTCAAACACATGTCATATGATTAAACACAGTCTTTTATAGCCTTTCATATTTGCGACCACCAAAAATCTTTAGATAGTAGCTCCAAAATCTTATTGTATTCAAAATATCTTATTACTGCAAAGTTGTGAGTAGCTTGAAGAATACATAAATGTACTACTTTTTTTGGAATATATATGCATTCTTTGAAATAAAGTAGATTCTTCTTGAACTCAAACTTGGAAGTATCAAAAGACTTAAAAGAAGTATTTTTGATATCATGAACAAGAGGATCAAAGGACATACTTAATTGAATTTGCTTAAAAAAAATTGAATCAACAATCAATGTTGATTTCACTACTCAAAGATGAAATTGTTCTAGCTTGAATAATTTTTTTTTTTTATTGATCAAAAATTATATCTCTTTCTTTTGGTGCACAATAAGAACATCTAGAAAGGATATCAAACAAATCTTGTTGTTTTCCTAGCCAATAAGTGATATTGAACTCAAATCTTGACAAAGACATACTTCAATAAGCCTAGCAACAATTCAAAACATGTGTTGATACAAAATACTTGAGGTTCTTGTGATTCATATATATATGGTGACTAGACTAGAAGTATTTTTTAAATAATAATGCTATTCTTGAAAAGAATCCACAACTACAAGAAATTCTTTCTTGTAGATCTCATAGTTAATTTTGGCTATTGAGAATTTCTTGAAATAAAAAGCTACTAGGTGGAATTTGTCATCTTCACCTATTTGTGACAAAACAACATCTATAGCAAAATCTGATGTATCTATTTTCATACAAAATACCTTTGAAAAGTCAATGCAATAGAAGATTGGTGCAAAAATAAATGTCAACTTTAAAGCTTCAAAAGGTTCTTCACTTCTTTGCTTCAATTAAGTTTGTCTTTTCATGTAAGATATATAAGAAGAGCCACAACTTGAAAAAAATTCTTGATAAAGATCGGATAGTAATTGGCAAAGCCCAAAAAAACATTGCACATCTCTTACTATTCTTAAAATCTTTCAATATATAATAGTTTGAACCTTCTTTGGATCCATCATAAGTCCTTTGTTTGAAATGATATATCATATGAAGTCAATTTGAATAGTATGGAATATACACTTTTTTTCTTCACAAATAATATAGGAGCTCTTGCAAGAGATTTCAAATGGCATATGAATTTTTTAGCCAAGTTCTTGTCAATGTATTTCTTGAATTTAGTCAACTCATTTTGTGATAAACTGTAGATTGGACCAAATGGTGGTTAACTTCCTTCTTTAAGGTCGATTGAGCTATCATATGGATGATTCTCTAAGAAAATATCTATATTCTTTTTTTAAAAAAATAACTTAAAAATCTTGATATTAACTTAGAATGCCATTTGAAATCTTTCTAATATTAAAAATAGGTGGCATAAATAACAAAAGACAATCCTTATTTTGTAGCATACAAAAAAGCTTTTATGTTTATGAATATGGATTTGGCTATATTACACTCATGGCTTTCTACAAAACTCTTAATAGTACTTTAAGAAAATTTAAGTTTTTAAGAAATCCAATCTATCAAAGAATTATATTTTTTTACCCGTGATAAATTTAAAATGACTAGATTAGAAGGAGACTTAATTATATTAAAAATTATGTAACTATTATGACTATTTATTGCTATATCTATAAGAAGTGTCTCATGAATAATATCTCCAGAAGATAATAGATGACCATCTATGATTTCTATATATATGAATTTAGTTTTTTGTATTAACAATATTCTATGGTTTTTAACAGATTCTTCATCTAAAACAAAAAGTTGAGGCTCATGAATCTATCAAGATAGAGGCTTTGTATTTATTAGGTCCTAAATACACGTCTATTATAAAATAAGGAGAGGATTCTGAGGAGAAGGTAAGACCTTCATTTGTATAAGATTTTAGTTGCGCAGTTCTTATTATAATTGAACAAGTTTATTTTTTTGACATTTTTTCATCTTTGACAATTGTACTTTGTATATTGTAGTTGCGTCATTTTTTTAGATAATGTTGAGCAGTATGCTTAGCTTCTCCACAATATATTCATAATCCTTCTCGACGACGATGAGTCTTTTCTTATTCAATAAGAGGTTTAAAACATACCACATCAATTTGCATATCTTCTACTTTTATATGTTTAGAATGAAAGATTATCAATATTGTTATTGAATTATAATAGTATGGAGGTTTTTTTGGGTGATTAATAGATTGAAATTCAAAAAGTTGATTGTCACACTTTATAGCAAAGTTAATTAAATGACTAAATGTTTGAAGATCAGATAAGTTGAGCATCAATTTCTTTATCTTATATTATAATCTGTAGAAAAATTGGTTAATAAGAGC